AAAAAAGCCATTGTACAAAGTCTTTGCGTGCTTTTGGAATGGAGTTTAGATATTGAGTGTTGTCCAGCTGCAGGAATAGATGCTAATAATAGACCAAAAGAAGTGCATAAACAGCAGGTTTATGTGGAAAACAAGAATAAAGGAATTAATCTTAAGACAATGTAAATACTTTTTCTTTTTTAATATTTGGAATTTGTTGATCCTCCTTGATCTAAAAGCTAGCACGAGATACATGTTCATCGGTTGCTTCGTTCGATTTTTTCTTTTTTTACTCTCTCTCTCTCTCTGTTTCATTTGTTGTTCACATAATAATGTTTATAAAAATGCATGATGCTATTGGATAATCCAATAAAAAAAATAGATATTAGATAACACTCGAGAACAACAGCTACTTGTTGAGCCAAAGCTTTCCAAAACTTAAAAAAGATTAAAGGTATAGAAAACAGCTACTTGTTGAGCCAAAGCTTAAGTTCCAAACCCAATTGTCTTTCTCTAAAAGAGCCAACAAGTTCTTAGTTCTTACACATAATATATCACATGTCGACACAAGCACGATTATTCTTTTTCCGATTTTGCAAATTATATACTATATATCAACAAAAACGAATAGTCACGATTATTCTTTTTCCGATTTTGCAAATAGACCCATAATTTTGCACATTGAATCACCAAGAATGTTAGTATTTTCTCATCACTAGTTATTGCATAAGTAAACTTCATAATACTGATATCTATGCACATTAACATTTTGAGGTGAAAGCTCACATAGCCAACACATTAAGTTAACATTAATTCAATCAGATAACTCAAAACAGAATATGCATATTATAGAAGTCACTCACACAAAATAAATACATAAATAAAAATAAAATCAAAAGTCACAAAAAGACATAAATATGGAAAGAAAAACAGATATGTACCTTGAATGTTCTCTTAAGGGGTTCATCAACTGCAGATAATTCCCAAAAAAAATTAATGAGAAAACAAATAATAAAATATAAATGGGGCCTTTAAAAAATTTATGAAAATGTGATGATGAAATAAATATAATCAGAAAGAATCCAACTTGGCCCTACCCTCTTCCATTAAAGCTTCAAACTGATCAATTGCTTCTTGAGGAACCACAGTCATTTCTTGTCACTTACCACAGAGAGGAAAAAGAAAAAAACAACAATATGAAATGGAAAAATTAACTTAACCATTCAACTAAAAATCCAATATTTACCTTGAATATTCAGTAAAAATGCTTTCTTTTTCTGTCTTTTTCACTTTGGAGGTTCAAAGTAAGGAGGGAGAAGGAAAAGTAGAGACTTCACACCGTGCATTTTAGCATCTGCATTTATATCTTCACTGTCCTAAATTCTTATGTTTAAATAGCCCTTCCGCATTTGCACATGCAACAATACTTGTATCATATAAATGAACCACACACAATGGCTTCTTATTTGGGCCGAATATTGATTGAACTACAAAACTGGGCCTTTCTTAGGCAAGTTTCGGGGAATAGGCCCAGAAGAGGGATGGGCTTTCAAGTTTCAACCACCTTTGCCCAATCAATAGTTTAACGTGTAATTAGAAGAATTATAAAACTTTTT